CTTCCCAAAAAGCAAATAGCTAAGTTACAACGCGTGCAAAATGCTGCCGCCAGACTAATTATGAATATCGGGAAGTATTCTCACACTACTCCAGCACTCTATGAGTTACACTAATTTCGGGGCCTGGTAATGGATGAATGTCGCCACTAAGCGAAATTTACAGCTCCGTAACGTCAAAACTGGTGCAGGAGTACGGGTAATATGATATTCTTTGTTTAAACCTGTTCCTCCGCAAGCCAGTAAGGGAACATGTCAATCCGCCAGTCATTAGATGGAGAACAAAAGGTTTTGGAACTTGTCTTGACTATCGTAAAGGACGACCATCAATGGAACAATCCCCAAAGACTGTGGTAATTAAGATATCATTCAAAATGCCCCTATACATCTGTCTTTTTGGCTTGGAAAAGATAGAAAAGTCCTTCGATCCTTTCGTTGTTGCAAGCAGCCAAAACTCTTAGGAAACAGCGTCCACGGCATCCCTGAGAGTTCTCATAGACGATCGACACGCTCTGGTTACCAGGCACAAGGATCGGGATGAAGAAATAAATTAAAAGCGTGGAGCGCAGAAAACAATGTCTCAATACCATGACGTCAAGGTTTTGTCGGCAAAAAGGAAGAAAATACTCGATGATACTGTTTCGTGCAGGTATACTGAAATTGAAAGGTCTCACTTGAATATGATTCATTTATCCTTAGAATTTAGGTGATACAGAACTCATTAGACTGGGTATTTAAACAAACTTTAGCGCCACTGTATGCAAACCCTGGTCTAAGCCATCTTCAATTTAGCAGAACCTTTTATCTCAACATTTATTTTTGTGATCAGTGTCGAGAGGGCCGAAAGATTTTTGTGTAAAAGCGCGGTTTGGGTTAACCTCGAGTGAATAACAGGTCCCTTGTGGTCCATCTATCAACGTGGACTTCGCTTGATATCTCGTGAATATTTCACCTTTTTCGGTTGTCAAGAAGTTTTAGAAGGTTTCTGTTCTTGTGTGATATCTTAAACCTAGATATTTACCTTATTTCGGTTGTCAAGAGGTATATTGAAGTTTCTATTCGGAGATTTTAGCTCCTTTTGTTGTTTCCCGGCCAAAGACCTCGGATAATCAAGTGTCAGCGGGATATGCAATTTGTATTAACGAGTTACTGAAATGATAATCAACTAACATGGCTTGTTAGGTTGAATGTTTGAAATTTACTCAGTTGGTGCATTTTTTTTCTGTAATTCTCAAGAAATATTTCACCTAGTGAGTTGTGATTTCCTTTGGTTAGGACTTTGCTTCCTCCTGACGTATATAATTTCCCTTTTATTCTCTGATCTATCATTAATGATGATTTACTTCAATATACAAATGGAGTTGTAAGCCAAAAAAAAGGTAACCTTATAAATTTCTTCAATAAACCAGCCTATGCAGGGCTCTTTGTTTGTTTTAGTTTTTGTTTATTTGTTTTTTTTTTTGTAGAATTAGACCTGGAGAGGAGTCCCGCTCCTGACCTGGAGAACACCATTGGAGATCAATCAGTTTAAGCCGAGCCACATTCCGGCGCTCTGGGCAAAGTTAAAATACTCTCTTTTCAAAGTTTCTACCAGCAAGTCTGCCGAGAAATCTTTACAAATTGCAGTGAGGCGTGGGTAAATAATGCGCTGTGGGTGGATATGCAAAGATATTGTGCATACGTTGTGGTCGAAAGTGTCTTCACACACTTTTTTCTGGCTTTTTCATGGTCCTTTTACAGTACTTGCGGTTATTATCTCGCAATTGTTTTCATTACTATGCTAACATGGTATCTAAATGCCTGCAAAGACGGCTGGAAATTCAACAATACATCCTCGGAAGCAGATTTGAAAGACATCAAGAACTCTTACTTGATCCAAAGCGGGAGTCACATGTGGATGGCTGTGTGGCATGACAAAATTATTGGTATGTATGATGCACGATCCACGCAGTAAAGTGCGCTATTTATGCAATAGCGAAAGTCAGACCTGAAAAAAATCAATTTAACGGCCTGCTCCCAGTCGGCTTGTTAGCTCAATTGGTAGAGC